TTGTTACAGTTCATGCCCCCCAGGGCTCATCTCACCGGCAGCTGCCCCCGCCACCGCCTCTCAGCCGCAGGTCCCTCCGGCTCAGCCCCAGGCCACCCCGCAGCACCAGCTCTTCTTGAAACAGCAGCAGCAGCAGCAGCAACAGCCGCAGCCGCAGCCGGCGGCACCATCGGCTCCGTTTTATCAGCCGCCACCCCAGGCGCCGCCGTCTCTGCAAACTCCGCAGGTGAGGCTCTTAAGGGTTTTTCTGCTTGTTGGTTCAATTAATTTGGCTTCCTTCTCCGCTGCCCGTCACTGCGCAGGGAGCCAGGCAGCTGTGGCTTGGCAGCGGGGAGCGGTCTGCACACAGCGAGGGGGAGACGCCGATAAGTTGGCACTTAGGAAATCACAGTCGACTTGAAGATCGCCTCCCACTGCCTGTGCACTTAGGTCGAGAGACTGTTTACAATAATGAGGAGGAGGACGAGGAGGACGGCCAGGACAACAACAGCGCTTCTGTGCCATGGATTGACTCTGGCGTATGGCGTTCCTCCAGGGAGTCTCCACCAGAGATGGGCACGAAGCACAGGTTGGACGGTTCGTGCCAGTTCTTTCTATCAGCTGAACAGGCATTCGACCTTCAAAGTCCTGCCTCCTCTAACAGGCACCCACTCAGAGGCGGCAGCTTGGCTTCCCTGCCCCACCTCCTCCGTTGTCTGCTGGCAGAGGAAGGGCTTTGGAGCACTGGACACCTGTCGGACCAAGAAGTGAACCACCACGAACCAGCAAACCCGTGATTTGTGCCTATCTCTAGTCTCTGCATACAGAGTGCTCGAGGGTGTTACTTCCCAGTCCCACCTTCTAGTGAGAGTCGGGGACCTCCCTGCCGTCTGCCCGAGGCAGTGCCAGTGGCAGGGCAGGGAATGCCACCTCGGGCACATATTCTCTGCATGGTCTTAGCTGGCCATTCCCCTGGAAGGCCTTAGGTGGATTCGGACTGCCGGCCCCGGGCTCTGCCGCCACGTGCTCCAGCCCACGGGAGCCGTACCATCCCTGGGGAGAGAAACAGTAAGATGCCGAATGTCCATAGGGGTTGTTCTGCCCCCTTTGCTTCCCAGTTCAGATTCCTTTGGTGCAAAACTGAAAACAAGGTGCCCTAACCCTGAGTTTGGACTTTTCTGTCCTTGGGAGGGCTCCTGGGGGGGTTCCGGTTTCAGCTCATCTGCAAGGAAGCCCCTGCTGAGGAGGTGCTATGGAATGCAGCTGCGCAGAATTTCCCACGCCTGCCCTGGACGCTGTTAAAAGCAAGCTCCAGAGCCCCGAAATTTTGGGATGTATAGTCGGGAGGTGACGGGGCCGATGGGTGGAAGCGTTTCCCAGTTGTGTGAGTACAGGTGTGTGGCATTTTGCGGGGCCGATGGGTGGAAGCATTTCCCAGTTGTGTGAGTACAGGTGTGTGGGGAAAAGTATGTGGACATAGGAAGTGTTGGATCGCTCAGGGGTTTAAGGCAGACCTGGCTGTGGAGCCAGAGGTTGGGAGTCCGATTTCCCCCCCCCCCAAGGGCCTCCTTTACAGGGGCTGGACCCCATAATCCACCGAGGGTCCCTTCCAGCTCTGCAGTTCTGTGAGGATGATGATTAGGGAGAGGGGTTCTATGACATGTCACGTTTTCTCTGCAGCCTCCCTTTGAACCTGTGAGCGAGTTCAAATTAAGAGTCATCTGGCCTTTTTTGCCAGATGACTCAAAAACACCTTCCCCAGGGCCTCCTTTACAGGGGCTGGACCCCATAATCCACCGAGGGTCCCTTCCAGCTCTGCAGTTCTGTGAGGATGATGATTAGGGGGAGGGTTTCTATGACATGTCACGTTTTCTCTGCAGCCTCCCTTTGAACCTGTGAGCGAGTTCAAATTAAGAGTCATCTGGCCTTTTTTGCCAGATGACTCAAAAACACCTTCAAACCCACCTGTAAGCTCAAACATAGGTTGCAGGAAAAAAATGACATGTCACAGAAATCATCTCCCCCTAGTAATGATGATGAAAGTCTTTGCCAAAAACAGCTGGCCCTGCCCTGCTTCTCCTATCAGTAAATCTGCAGAAATTTTCATACCTGCGAAATGGAGACTCTCTTTTTGTTCACATATGATTTGCTAATGTTTTTGGTAGTTTTCAGCCGTTAAAAAAAAGGAGGAGAAGGACGAGAAGCCCCTTATGTCGCATTCTGCAGCCTCTGTATTTTTGGGGCCTTTTGGGACGGCTAGAAGGCAAGGGAGGAGGGTGGGCCCAATAAGGGGCTCTCGCACAAGCCACCGTTTTACGTGATTGAAACAGGAGGCTGCAGCCGGTCACGGCAGAGCTCTCTGAATTTTCCTTCCGGCGTTTTAGGTGCAAGTGATGTCGCAAGCAGCGCAGCCGCAGGGGAAGCCGCCCTTCCCAGGTGTGCCACAGGGAGTGGTCGCGCCTGCCCAACCGCAGCCGGTGCAGAACTATAAGCAGCCGCAGCCGCCGCAGCAGGTGTTGGCGCAACAGGCCGCCATGCAGCCAAAAGCCCCCGCTGGGCAGCCGAAGCCCCCCGCTCAGATGCTGCCGCAGCCGCAAGGGCAGCCGGCCGTGGCCCTGCCAGCCTCGACGCAGGACCATCCGGTAAGGATGAGCCCCGGAGTGCTTTCCTGGCCTTCCTTTTGGACAAAATGAGGAATTTGGCAGCAAAATGATCCCGGGGGACTGGGACCGGGGCTAGTTTCCCTACAGCTCGTGATGGTGGAGGGATCGATGCTTAGAACTGTCTTGACTTCCTTGCTTTAGAGCAGTGCTTCCCAATCTTGACTCCCCAGGTGGGTGTTCTTGGACTACGACTCCCAGAAGGGGTGTTCTTGGACTGAGACTCCCAGAAGCCTTCACCACTAACTCTGCTGGCCAGGATTTCTGGAAGTTGTAGTCCAAGAACATCTGGAGGTCCCAGTTTGAGGACCACTGCCTTAGCCTGACACTCTGTCCACCCCCTCACTCTACCCACTTGACCAGTGGTCCCCAACCTTGGGTCCCCAGATGTTCTTGGAACCAGATGTTCTTGCAGAACATCTGGAGGTCCCAGTTTGAGAACCACTGCTGTAGAGCAAACAGTGTTGAAGCTGTCCATGTTTCCATTTTGGAAATGGTGGACTAAAAGCCGTGTTGCGTTTGGGCAAGTTAAGCTCCTCTTGCCCCCTGGGCTCAAGGGGATGGCTTTTTTGGCCCCTGGGATCTGGACCTCTGCTTCCCTCTCTGCAGAGAGCCTGGACCCTCACCTGCCAAGCAAATTGGAAGAAAATTTACCCATAAATTCCGTTCACCCCCCCAACAGACTGTCTTCCAAAGGAGGAAGAGGAGAAGAAACCCTCCATTTAATGACCATAATGTATACGCATTCATCCCTAACCATTGCTCTTTGCTTAATGAGGATTGGAGTTTTCCCTGCCCTGCGCGACGCAGCTGCTGTACAGAATAAAAGGCCTGGAAAGTTGCCAAAGATTCCCCTTTGCTACCAATGCAGAGACGGGAGGGTGACATTTCACATTCCTCTTACCTCCCCCACCCCCACCCCACATGCATGCAGGGGCACACAAAGACACACGCACGCACACCCATGCACACGCACTCAGAATTTATCACTATTCAAATGCAATCATCTCCCCCTTGTTTCTTTTCATACTGAACGGCAGATTCTTTGGCTGTCTGTGAGGGGTTTGGAAACGGAATGGTTGTACCGCATACGCAGGAATTAAATGCGTTCCAGCTGAAACTGTACTTATTCCCAGCTACGGCTGCTGTAGATTGTGTCTTTAATGCCAAAAGATTTTGAGTATCTGAAAACCATCTGGGTTCAAGAGCAGATCTGCAGGGCAAACTCTGGCAGGAGGGAGCGAGCAGGGGAAGCCCTCTGCAGCTTCGTGAGGGTTGGAAAGACCTGCCCGGTCGCTGGGTGACCGCAGCTCTCCCCGGGGTGCTCTCCGGAGCGATCGCTGGGATAGCAATGCCGAGAGATCAGTTGCTACTCCAGAGCAAGATGCAACACTCAGGGCACGTTCTTGGACTGTTTAGAGTCAATATTTGGTTGTAAATGGTTGCCCTGGGAGTGTGTTTATATTAAAAGGCAGCAAAGGTATGGATTGGGAGGCGAAGAGGGGGGGAACCCTCTAACCTGTACAGCTGCCTTATAGGATAGGCTGGTTTTGCTCTTCTGAGCTGGCAGTTTTACGTGAATCAGTGGGAGTCTTGTGCCAAAGTCTTTGCTCCCACATTTTCAAATACAGTTCTTCAGCTATTGGATTTTCCGAAGGCTTTTCTGAAAACTGAGGCAGGGGTCCTGAAAAGTCCAGTTTCTGCCACAGGGAGCAGATCTCACTCCATTTTTCCATGTTACGGAATAAGAACGGAGGAGGAAGGTCCCTGGGAATAGTAGTCGGGCAAGGCGGTTTCTCCACGCTTTCCTGGGGCTGTGCTTTGCCTTTAACAATGCGCTCCTGTGCCCACAGCAGTGAAAACGTGGTTTGGTGGGCTGTGCCAGTGACGCAGAGTGTCATTTTTATTCACCACGAAGCTCTCCAGAGGAGCACCTGACCTTGCCAAAAGAAAGAAAAAAAACACCCCAGGTTTCTCCTCCAGCATCTCTTGGGAGGCCCGTCCCAAATTCTGGACAGCTTTTGCCTGTTACTGCCGATGCAACGGGATTAGATGGACCTCTTTTCTGATCCCGTCCAGCTTCCGTTCTTTTAAAGCCAACTTCTGTTCGTTTCCCCCCCTCCCAAAAAAAGCAAGCACCTCCACGCCATCAAAAGGCCTTGGCCAACCCTTCGCCAGCTGCCCAGGGACAAAAGGTGGGCTCCCTCACGCCGCCCTCTTCCCCCAAGACCCAGCGAGCCGGACACAGGCGGATTCTGAGTGACGTGACGCACAGCACCGTCTTCGGGGTTCCAGCCAGCAAGTCCACACAGCTTCTGCAAGCAGCCGCGGCCGAGGCCAGCCTCAATAAGTCCAAGTAAGTGTGACTTCCTTGCAGATAGGCAGAGGTACCAATCCAGGACTTCTTGAGCATCAGTCATCCTAGAGCTCTTCCCTTACATGGCAGCTGAATGTTGTCCGCATGACGACACCTGTAGAGCTAAAGTGCAGGCCCCTGGGATTAAGCAGCCACAGCACCTGAACGGGGAGAGACGCTCGAGAGATGCTGCTCTGTCACTTTTTGCTTTGGGAGGGCCCAGTGTTAAAGAGCCCACAGCCTTTTCTCCAAGGGGAGGTGCTCAAGACGCAGAGCTGCCCCAGTGGCCAACCTCAGGGGTATTTTTTTGGACACTTTGGGTTTTGTTGTTGTTAAGGAATTAGGATCTGAGTGGCTGGTCCTGAGTGTGACTCGCATGGGACAGGGTTGCGAAAAGGTCAACCAGTCACCTCTTAAGCCGCACCTCGAGATCTTCCCATGACTCGGGAAGCGGAGGTGCGGTCAAGGCCAACGGTGACATCCGCTTTCCAAAAGACTAACTCCTCTGTGTGTGTGTATGTGTGTGTGTTTCCTCTAGGTCTGCCTCGACGACGCCTTCTGGGTCTCCCAGGACCTCTCAGCAAAACGTCTACAATCCGCCCGACATGTCCACCTGGAATCCTTTTGATGATGATAACTTCTCCAAGCTCACCGCGGAGGAGCTGCTCAACAAAGATTTTGCGAAACTAAGTGATGGTTAGTTTCTTATCCTAAGTGGGAGTCCAAGCTGGAGTGAAGAGTTGGGAAACCTCCAGGCGGTTCTGAGCTTTAAGGGTGAAACCGAGAACGGATGAGCAGACTTGCTTCTGGCTTTTTGAACTGACCTCCAGGACGTAGGATCGAAGGCGCAGGAAATGCTTGGGATGGAGGTGGGCAAAATCTGTCCTTACCTTAGCGCCTCTTCAGGACCCGCTAGAGAGGTGTCAGGGGCCCTGCCAGTGTGAGACCGCCACCTTTACTAGGGCTGGGTCATCATATTTTGCAACCGACATCAGCCTCCCTCGCCTTTTAAAATTGCTGCTTCATTCAAGCGTGCAGGACGTGTAATAACGGGCACAGGCTCTAGGAAACCAGATTTAGGCTGAATATCAGGGGGAAAAACTTCTTAACTGTTAGAGCAGTACAACAAGGGTGGAGGGATCGATGCTTAGAACTGTTTTGACTTCCTGGCTTTAGAGCAGTGCTTCCCAATCTTGAGTCCCCAGGTATCCTTGGACTACAGCTCCCAGGAGCCTTTTTTTGGGAACCCATGATCTTTGGAAGTGGTGAGCACTCCAGCATGGGAGGCGTTCAAGAGAAAACCGTCTGTCCGATGTCTTTTGGATCTGCTTTGATTTGTGGCACTGCTGTTTCCTTGTGGTTGATAACCCAGTCTTGGAATTTCAGGGAAGTCCATGGAGAAGCTCGGCAGTTCGACAGAGAACCTGATCCCGGGTTTCCAGCCGGCGCCTTCCGCAGCCCAGGCAGACGCGTTTGGCTCCTCGTCTCTCGCTCCTGTGCCAGGTATGCGCCCGCAGGAGGTCGGGGTGTGGATGATGCCATGCTGAATGAAAAGTGGGTGGTTTTGTTTTTCTGGGGGATTCAGTTGGGTTTGGCCAGGCTGAATCATGTTTCTAGTGAAACTAAGGAGTAAGAGTTTTAATAACCATCAGAGGGAGATGGGCGTTAGGAGGTAAGCACCGAGGAGGGGAAGTCCTGAAGCAAAGACAAGGCAAAGTGGGTTTTGGCAGCGAGATGAACAGTGGAGTCGGCCAATATTCCCGGTATGTTGTGCAGAGATCTGCAGCTGGAGTCTGAAGCCACTGCATGGTTGTGTAAACAAGACGGGGAGCCAGGCTGTTGGCATTTATAAAAGACCTGGCCATTTGGGGGACTTCCTACACCCCTTAATTTGCCCCACACCCGTAGAGACCACTGAAGCTGGAGCACAAACAGTTCTGGGCATCTCGGCTCTTCGCAAACCCCTGTCCTGAAGAAGGAAAGAGAGAGAAAGAGAGAAACACACAAAGTGAGAAAGATCTATGTGGAGAAATGGCCGAGAAGATTGCTAAGGGTGGCTTATTAACGTAATGATTCTAAGATGTGACTAATGAAGCCAAGCTGCCTTATCAATGATAAGAAAAAGGTAGGATCTATGAGGAAGAAATGGATTTAATTCCAAGTGGATAGTCTTGGTCTCTCCAGAATCCTCTGAATGCCTTTAGGGTCTCAGAAACAACCTTAACCCTTTTGTGTGAGTCTGGAATGGTTTCTTCAGGCTTTTTCCTCCTGTTTCAGAAACAGCTGAGGTCTGTGGGGTTTGATTTTCTGCCTCTCATCCCCTGAGAGCTTTTGAGTTTCCTTGCACTTTGTGCTTATCCCCTCTTATCGGTTTATTTTATAAACTGCTTTGTCATGTTGCAAACAGCAGGATAGAAATCCATTAAAAAATACAGCATGTGCCCTTACATCTCAGACTAGGGGTTTATTCATAATGTGACTGGGGGGCGGGTGTATAGTTACAGGTAAGTAAATCTCTCCCCCCCACCTCAGATGCAATAAATCTTTATGAGTCTTGAATTAATTTTCTTCCTACAAAACATTGAATTTGGAGGAGGTGTTGTGATCCGATGCGCCTCCTTTGGTTTCACCCGCGTGACCTTGAATGAACTCACCCATTATTCTTCTCTTATTGCTCTTTGAAACTTTATTCCTTCCTGGTCATTTCAGATTTAGAAAAACAAAAACAAACGCCAACCACACACTCTTGTAGAGCTCCGTGGAAATGTAATGTGGTTGTGCCCCAGGCTTTAAATGCAACCGAATGGACTTTTTGTCTTCTTGGTGTTTCTGGTGTCCCTCTCTTGCGCTTTGCTTGACATCTCGGTTTCTCTCTGTCTTTGCCTTTCCTCCCCTTGCCTATCCTTTCTTTTTTCTCTCCCTCTACCTTGGCCCTTGCTGCTTAACCAGGTGAAAAAACCAGTGACATCCTGGATTCTAGTCCTCCGCGGTTGGCTGTCCCTGACCCCTTCATTCCCCTTCCGCTCTCTGAGGCACCAGGTAACTGGGATGCGTGCGAACGAGATATCGTGTGGGAAGGGACTCCGAGGGTCGCCTTTTGCAACATGCCTGTAAAAGCGCTGCCATCCCCCCCCTCCCAAGGTGGCTGGCTCCCTGGGTTACTTATGCAGAGGGCCTGGGCCCTATAAGCCCCTGCCTTCCCGTGTTGCGTTAACCAGTTACTTGCAAAAGGTGTGTAGGAAGAAACGAAGCCGCGTCCGCCTCCTTTCTTGCCAGTGGAATGCAGGGGTCCTGAATTATATCGGGAAAAACTTCCTAGCTGTTAGAGCAGTATGACAGTGGAACTGATGACCTTAGAGGGGGGTGAGCGCTGTCAACGCTGGAAGCCTTCCAGAGAAAATGGGATATGTCTTGACTTGGGTTCCTCCTTGAGCAGGAGATTGGACTCAATGGCCTTAGAGGCCCCTTCCAACTCCATCGTTCTAGGATTCTATGATTCCCCCCCCCCAAAAAAAACACAATTCATAATGGATTCCAAAGATAGCCTTTGAAATCTCCAAACTGTCTTGACTTTGATTATGGGGGTTTATGCTCTGTCTTGAATCTCTGCTCAGGGTCTTTCCATCTTGGAAAATAAGCAGGGGAGCCCCAGAGAGGTGGGGGTTTTCCTGGCACTGGAACAGCCCCAGACTACCCCAGACACACCTCCCCTGTGCCAACTTACAGAAATTAAAAACAAGTTTTTAAGGTGAAACTGGTGCTGTTCTAATTTAATTTCTTTTTCGGTCACTTTGCATCTCTTTGAAGTGGATATTTCGAAACTCACGGGTTCAGGTTTTTTTAACTGTATCCTGTGCCTTTGACATAAGACAGTCTGGATCCTTTGAATGAGAAAAGAAGGCTTAAAAATAATATTGTCCTCATATATGGTAATAAGAAACCCTTTCGATAATTTAAGCTTTTGAGTTTCAAAAGACTTCTCCACCCCCTCAGTGACTTTCCTTAAGGAAATATTCTGAGCCGGTTGTTTCTCTGGTGTTTCTTTATTTTATATTTTTTAGTTTGCTGCTCAGTAAAAGCAGATGCCGAAAGGAAACATACCTACTGCTAGCAAGGCTAAAAAAGGCGGCACTGATAATAAACACGGAGCGATGAAAATTTCAAGTGCAAAGCTTTTCACACTTCCCTATGGAAAGCAGCCACGTTTTCCCTGATAAGGCCTTTGTGGACTTTGTTCCTTCGTTAGTCGCCAGAGCGTTAATTTTTGTTGTTATTGGCTGGGTACAGGAGAGAGCAGCCTTCCTTCGTTTGGGCAAGGTGAGGGTTTTGGCTGCTGTGTCCTAGTTTGCTGTATGGCATGGCCCCAGCTGATAAACCTGCACCAAAACCCTCCGGCACCTCTTCAGAACGTATAGCTTTCTTTTTTGCTCTACCTGGCTTGTTTGTTACACGGGAGCCGGGCCCCCTCTGCAAAACCTCCATTCCCTGTTATATCGTAAATATAACGTGTGGCAAAGAATGGTGATCGGGCTGACAGCTGTTGGGTGCATAATTTCAGTTCCCGGAGAGCCTCTTCTCATCTCCTCACCCTTTAAGGTCTCTCTAGTCCTTCAAGCCAGAAAAGGCTGAGCTGAAAACAACTGGAAGGGTTGAACAACATACAGCTTTGCACGGAGTACAGAATTCCATTTTTCTTCAGATGGGGTTTGGATTGTTCAGGCACCCAATTTTGTTTTATTTAGCATAAAATTTATACAGTTCTTTCCCCTCCGTTGCTTTTTATAGTTTTTGAAGAATTTTAGCCATTTGTCCTTGCAACAAGCTTTCTAAAAGCAATTTCATCTGGGGGGGGGGGGCGTAAAAATTATACAGTTCTTTCTCCCTCCCATTAAATTGAATTTTAGCCTTTTGCCCTTGCAACAAGCTTTCTAAAAGCAATTCCATCGGGAGGGGGGGGAAGGAAGGGAAAACTGAAATCTGAAGACGTACTGCATTGGTTTGTCGGTACCTTGATAGACTGCACGGTGTGTAAACTTGGAGATGGGGCATGTTTACTCCCTGGCTCTTCCTGCACCCAACACCCACCTGATTCGAAATGTTGTTTTTCTGGATTCTTATCAGGGAGCCCTTCGTCCCAACATCACGTCCGAAGAAAAGTCCTCTGCTGCTATGTGTTTTATTGAAAGAGCCACCCTTCCCTTCCCTTCCGTGGCTGTCCGAGTGAGTCACGTGCTTGGGGGTGTGTGCGTTTTTGCCTGCTCTAGATCTTCTTGGCAATGGATTGTCTCCAAACAAAAGTGAATCGGGATGGACTTGTCCTTTGGTAGTGTTTCTGTCCTAATCCAGGGTCCCTGCTGTAACATTTGCCTGTTTATTTTGGATTTCTAGCCAGGAAATACTGACAGCATGGGGCAGGTTTGTGTGTGCGTGTGAGAGGGAGAAAGGGAGAGACACACAGATACAGAAAATATGACGTCCACATTAACTTGCTGAAATAGGTCTCCTGGTTGCTCAGCCATGCCTCCCGGGTTCTTGTCCAAAGGGACAGGTAAACAGAAGACCCTCTCCTTCCGTTTTGGGATCCTGGAGGAAGAACTGCAGCAGCCATGAAGGAGGAGAGTTCTGCACGGACAGATCAGGGAGTGTGGAGAAAATGGCCCTAGTTTGTAAGACTGGGGAGATGTCAGACTTGCAGAATAAAAAATTGCAAGGGTTGTGTGGGAGGAAGCACCAGTTGGAAGCAAAATACTGGTTTGGAAGAGAAGACGTTGCAATTACATTTCTGCAATGGTCATGTTAACAACTTGCCTAAGGTTTGGTGCATCCACAAATGCACACCATAAGGGGACTCGGGTTCCCCACAACAGTCACTGTGTATTTCTCTTTTGAAGGGACTCAGTTACTGACAATGGAGCAGAACGTGCTGCCCTTAAGGATCATTCTGGGGCATGGTGGAGCCCAGGACCATTTTGAGATCCCTTTATCTGTACCTTTGTGCTTTTGCTTGTTTCAAAGCCCATTCCCTTTCAGATCCCCCCCCCCTTCCCGGTCATGCAGATGCTGGCAACTTAAATGTATGTGCAGCAAATTAGCCTGGGAAAATTTGCACACAGCTGTTGGGGGATTCAAAGCCCTCTTCATGCAAATTGACTAATTGCAGACCTCCAGGGACACAATTTGCATAAATGCATAATGCATTCTGGCTTTTAAGGACAAAAGGCAAAGATTTGGTATTGGCTTCTTGTTTCACAAGGGTCACAAATAGAGGAAAAAAATCAAGCCACCCATCTCTGTTCGTAACCTAGGCGAACCGTCAAGAGTTTCTCATAGAACCCATAGACGCACCTGCCTCTGCTTC